ATTTAAACATTTGTATGCGGCCCAACAGTCTGTAATTATTGTGCTTCCCATGCCCCAATTTTTCTAATACGCCCCTTAAAATAAACCATTTTCAGAATCTTTTTTATCCAGGCAATTCTACAATTTTTGGTTGGGGGTGCCATATGGAACTCTTTCCAATTCAACTACTTTATCACCAATGTTATCTGCAAGTCGCTAAAAGTTTTTAACTGTGTATTCAAATATCTTCTTCCTTTGTTTTGAAGAAGGGTGTTTGTTAGTTGAAACAGTTTTATGAACACACGCCCCTTAGAAATACATTTCTTAAACTGTTAACCCGGTTATCTTAGGCAAATTGCCTGATCATTTCCTTTCTGCTCACTTAGCTTTTTTCACTCACCCTTTGTCTGTTTACTGTGTTTTCTTATTATTTCTAGAAAATTACTTAAAACATTGTACTCCAAAGCTTTTGACGTTATTTGTACACTCAACTTGAGCTTCAAGTCATACATACTTTCAAAATATACATAAAAGATTTGGCATGTACGAAAAAACAAGAGCTCTTTCATACATTATTTTTGATAAATAGTCTTACTTAGAAAGTGACCAGAAAAAAAAAAACGGTACGGATGTGTGCTTTTTACATTCAAATTCAGTAATAAAGAATATATTATTCTGCGTTTCCCAGCAATATCTTGAAGATAACGAATCACACAAGCTATATAATCAGAAAACAGCGTAAACTCATTCAAATACAAACCTGAAGAAATAAACACAATCGGTAACGAATAACGACAACTGCCTTTATCTATCTTACTGCTCGTTAGATCATTTCAATATTTGAATAAAACGTTGACTTTGATGGAAGACATGTGCTTAGGACTAGATTAAATATTCATCCGTCGAATTTGCCTGCTTGCCATTTTTGATGTCTCATATGTTCTCAAAATAGTTAAGGATAAAAATTAAAAATATAACAAAAAATTTTTTTCCAGTATTTTCTGCTATGTTTGAGTGAAACTTTACTATTAAGACATGTAGAATATTTAAAAACTAGCTGGAGTTCCCATCCTCTGGACGGAAGTTATGTAAATGCATCATAAATAAAAGGTTATCTTGGGGCATGAAAAGTTGCTTCTTTTATATGTAAACTGCAAAACACAAAATGTGAAACCGCAAGTTTACATGCATCACCGCATGGATCCAACAAACCTTCATGCCAAATTTGGTGAAGATCCGCCAATAGAGGGCGAAGTAGTGGCAAGAAACGCAAAAAATCCCATAAAAACTGCAAAACTGAAAATCTGTATGTATCTCCCCATGAACCCAAATGAACCTCCATACCAAATTTGGGGATAATCTATCCACAGGAGGTGAGGTAGTGGTAAAAAACACCCATAAAACTGCAAAACTGGAAATGAATTTCCAGACCAAATTTGGTGAAGATCCATCCACACCCTGCGAAGCAGTCACATGGACATACAACAGACAGTACTATTATATTTATATAGATTACATGCTAACCACATCCTCAGGTGCGAAAAATCAAGTCCTCAACAGACCTATGTACTCACTAGGCAGAGGCGTCGGAGTCAGTTTTACATACTTGATTTATACAGCAACTGTAAGTTATATTATCTGCATGTCTAGCCAAGCACTCCCACTATTACGTACTTGATTTATACAGCAACTGTAAGTTATATTATCTGCATGTCTAGTTAAGCACCCCCACTATTATGTACTTGATTTATACAGCAACTGTAAGTTATATTATCTGCATGTCTAGCCAAGCACCCCACTATTATGTACTTGATTTATACAGCAACTGTAAGTTATATTATCTGCATGTCTAGCCAAGCACCCCCACTATTATCTACTTGATTTATACAGCAACTGTAAGTTATATTATCTGCATGTCTAGCCAAGCACCCCCACTA